CAAACTGAAAATTTATACAAACTCCACATCCCTACAACTATAAATTATTCGTAAACCTTTAAAACAGTACTAATATGCTAATTTGTTATTTTGCCTCAGCCTCTTATATAAAAGCCAAAAATTAATTATTTAGTGTATCATACTTGTATATGTTTTATAACTAAATTTAAAAAATAAATACCTAGTTATTTAATTAATTTCAACAAAGAATAGCCAATGGGTAATAAATTGAATACAAATAAATTCTAACGGTCAATATTGGTAGGTCGTAGGTGAGAAGTAAAAATGAATTACTAATGATTATCTGACTATAACAAATGATAGGTATAAATATAAAAGGTTAGTATTATATAATAATTATAAACGTAAATGTCAGAATAAAAAAACGACATCAATATAAAAATGACAACACTCGACACCCCGAGTATTTTTATTACATATATAACCTAATTTCAAAATTCTCCGTAATTTATTTAAGCCGGCACTACTCCCGACATTATATCAAGGTGACGGATTTCAACTGAGTTTTTTAATCATTGAACTAGGCATTCTGTAAATAATATAATGCTCACACATCATTATAGCAATCATATAAAATGTAACAGATAAATAAATAACGACCTGCCGCACGTAGAAATCGGAAATCCCAAGACCCCAATAAAACCATTGTCACAGACCAAAAGAGTCTACCTATATTATACGATCACGGATTTAAAAAATTGGCAAGTACCTGGTAACAGTAAAGCGTAGTGCATGTGGCTCTCTTACGTGCAGCCCGAGAAAAGGTATGGTAAAAAAGGTCCTTGCGCCGAAGAGATCTCTGCTGTCGGACGCGCAAAACAACCTTTTAATGAAGCCGTCTACCACCCTCTGGTCAGCATAACCTTCTCGTCCTTTCGGACGGTGCATACGCACCACCCACCCAACACAGTAACAACCTCTCTATATTGAATCCTGCGAGTGACAACTAGACTCCTTATGACGTGTAATAATCAATGTGTTTTATTATTTTGATTCGAGTTTTTTGAGTAATTAATTTGTGTCACCTAAAACTTCTACATTATAACCGAGAGACAGCTGAGAGCCAGGTAAGACATTTAATATAAAATATATTATTATTGACTGCATTATGATTATATAATACATTACACAATACACGCACATATCAGTATATCCACAATCATATTGTACGGCGTATTTGATCAAATTCTCGAATACACGACCTCGAGAAACCTCCGAACACCTGTATTTAGGTAAAAGGGTAATTCTAATATTTACATCTGGTATTATTCACCGGCACTAATAAGTGTAGAGAATCATAGTTACTTAAAATTAACATCAAATTATGATATAATTATAGGCAGGGTCCTCATTTATATTTATCATATTTTTGCGTTGTTATACAATATTATTATATTTTCAAGAACAACTGGATTTGGTCGTACCTATTTTATTCACCAATGTCTGTTAATAACAAATAACAATTCAAATAAATAAATAAAAACAATGAACATTTTTCTTTAACAAGCACTAGGTAGTATAATATTTAAATGTATACAATTCAGATGGATAGTAGAAAATCACGTTTGCCGGTTTAAATACCGTTATGATGCCGCAGCACGCGCTCGGTGAAATACTTTTTATCGTTTTGGTCAAATTAAGGTTTTTTTTTTTAACATTTTATCGATTCTAATAAAGTATACATTTAGGTATATATATATATTTGTGTTATGTTATACTTTTCTACTCATTCATCTCGTATACATAAATGGTTTAAAATATCACGAATCAGGTTCAGTTACTTGTTATTTACAATTAGGTGAACGTTTTCATTTTTAAATAAGGAGATATATGAGGCAATAGTTCGTATAGAGACGTATCTAAGTATCCTTTGTGGCTTTGTTATTTTTATTAATTTTATAATTAATATTTTATTTATTTAATACATATAAGTATTAAAACATTTTACAGATTTAAAATTATTAAGGCGCACAATGGAATATTGATGAAGCTATAGTTTATCCATTCAGCTAATAGGTACTTTGCACCTATAGTTATGTACTTTTATATCATTAAAAATAAAACACACTAAGCATAGGAATTATATTTTTGTTTCTAATGCCTACCTATACATAGAATTAATTATTGTCTTTTAAAAAACTTGGCTACAGTATAACATTGTTTTTCTATGCTAGTTCACAGATATGCACTAAGCATTTAATTGAATAGCTTAGTAGCAACATATAAGTTGATCAATCCATAGTCACATTTTCTATATTGAATGCAAACTTTTTGGGTACATTTTACCAATTTCAAAAATCCTCGAGAGGGATTGAATATAATATTTATTAACATTTAATAACACTTATTAATTATCCTGCCTATACCAAAATGAATAGTTGAAAAGGTAGCGATTAAAAACTTACCAAAATTCCGATTATATATTAATTAAATTAATTTTTAACAGGCACATATGTCAAGTTGCACATAAAATGAAAATTGAACAGTTGGATCAATGCAATCAACCATGAGCTATACTAAATCATGTTTAAGGAACTACTATTGATTCATAAAATGTTCAGTCGTTCACGCGACCTTCAACCTACAGTCATATTAGATGTTTATTAAAAAAAGTTGTTATTTTTTCTTAAGTTCAATTACAGCACGGTTACAGAAAAAAGACAAGTGTCCTCTTTATTTTAATATTCCTTATAAACGGTTTCCAGTTCTATTTTAACATTTAAATCACACACAGATACGATAAGTGATAGCTGGATACACAATAGTATAGTATTACGTGGTACGAATTTTAAGGTAAACCCAAACTAGTGTACCTATATATTTTAACTGCGTACAAACTTGATGAAGGCCGATGACTTCTTTATTATGGTTAATGGTATTAACCATAGAAATTATTACAGAATTTATTCTATGGTTAATAGTTATATTGGGCGGAATCATTTTCTTCCAAAATTAAGATACCATTTTCATTCACAGGTAATTTTTCTCAAAAAATATAGGTAGGTACTTCCATCTTCTAGAATTGTTTGGACTAGTATCATATCTATATTCCTTTAAATATGAAAATTATTTAAACTACACTATAACCTTTATGTATGAAATTATTACATGAATAATTTTATTTTGTACATAACACTCATATTATTAATACATAGTTTATAGGTAGGTACCTATTTAGAAAAATTGACTATAATTTGAATATTTTATTTTAATTTGAAGTTATTATAGTTCTAAATTATTATAAAATTATATTTCCCTATATTTTATCACAATGATTTTTCGTTTCGATACATCATATAATATTATATTTATAATGTTGTAAGTACCATATGGTATTAAGGTATATATCATGGCCAGAAATAGTCCTACCAAATTTTAATAAATATATATTATAATAGGATACTAATTTCTTATTTTAATAAAGAAGGGGATGTTTATTGTTTTTTTTTTTTTGTAGAAAAGTGGAAAATAAGGTTTATTGCATATGTATTTATGGTAGGCCGCAGCGGTAGTTGTATTCCTATCCGTACCATGTACAATACAATTCGAAATCTACGGAGGAAATAATCGTGATTGCATCACTGCAATTCTATTTAAATAGAGAGCCTTAATGTTTATATATAAATCCTAAGGCTCTCTAGATTTAAATATATGAAGGTGCCCTCTGCAAAGGTCCGCGGCACGAGTCGATTGAAAAATTCTGTCCGCGCCACAAGTTGACACATTTTAAACATTCGACGGTACCCAATACCTATAGTATAAATTGTTTAATTGTCAACCAAAATATAGCCACGCTTTGCAGGAAACAGTAAGCCATTATGTGGAAAATTACAGGAAGGCCCGGATAAGTATTTTTGAGGTCACAATATGGAATACAATTTTTTTTCTACAATTGTATTTTTATTTTCATAGAACATTAAATATTATTCATAAGTAGGGCTCAAAAGTTTGCATTAGCATGTTTTTTTTTGGGGGGGGGGGCTGCTAAATATATTGCTTAGTGAGCTTGTAATTAATTTTACGATACTACGAAAAAATATTTAAAGTTTATAGGGTGCATATATTTTAATAACTTTGTAGTTTCAAGAGCATGTTCCATAAATTTATCGTTTTTAGAACATATTTGATGATTAATTAAGTTTCAAATACGATTTGAAAATTCGGCAATAAAAAAAATAAGTACCATGATAATAATTTAATGTAGCTATATTAATTGATTTTCACTAGGTATTATTGTATCATGTTTTTCAAATCCCCAGTTAGCATAGAAATTTCTAGTTTTAATAGTAAATATTTAATGAAAATTATTAAGTATAAAAATATTTTTTTTTTTATGCCCTTAAATGCATGAATATTTAGTAGGTACTTCTTAAGTACATTAAGTTCTGAGTCGGAAGAGTATTCAATTTCAATTATTTTCTAGCTTTTGTTAAATGTTTGTAAAATATCGTTTAAAATATTAATGACATAAATATATTATTGTCTGATGGCAATACCACGAGTACAAGTTTTCTAGTGTACTTTTCGTTCTCAATTTGTTTTTAATTCTTCCACATTTTAAAGACACTCCTTTGTTAGAAAAGCTCTTCCTTGGTAAAGTTAAATAAATATTTACAGCAATGTACCTATAATATATTGAGCAAATATGCCAGTTAACGACTTTTCATTAAATCATTAAAAGAATTTTTCAATCAATCAAGAATTTAAACTAATTAATTTGTGATAATAGATACTTTCACTTCTTTTTCATACATATAAATAAAAAATGTAACAATAATATATACACGTAGGTGCAAAATCAGAGGTTCCTAAAAATATCTCAATATACTTGTGGCCAGGGGGCAAGGCCACCCTGGCCCCCTTATCCGGGCTTCCTGCTACGTGGTTGAGTGGAGATGGTCAGTTGTTGCGAAGGTTGGCCCTGAGAAACCTGTAATAGCAGTACAAAGGGAAGGAGCAAAATAAATTAGAGAAAAAAATAAGTTCTTGGAAAATAAAATTTTCTTTTTTATTAGGCTAAGTATTATGTAGGCACACGCAATTCAAACAAAAATGCCTATAAAACAACTTACAACGCCGTTATAATCGATCAGCGACTCGAGACTTTTCTTCGCGGAAGTAAAGTACAAACTAAGTAGAAAATACAAAAAAAATATATATTTTTCGTCTAAAAAACGAACGGTTTTCCTAAACAACAAAAGAAGGAAAGAAAAAAAGAAAACACAGGATGAAAATAATATAGAAATCGAGCAAGAAAAATTATCAAAATAAAATTAGCACATGTTCGTCTCATTCATAATAATAATAATAATAATAATAATAATAATAATAATAATAATAATAATAATAATAATCATAATAATAAATAATGATAATAATGATCTTCTATCGCAACGCATTAATCTCGTAAATAATAGTATTTAATAATATCAGTGCACGTGTTTGAAAATCAATGGCCAGCTGCGACGGCACATCACACTGCGACGGCACATCATACTGCAGCGGCGCATCACGGCAGCGGCGGCAGCAGCAGCAGCGGTGTTTGCGTCAGCAGCAGACACCGCAGCCGCTGCAGCCGGAGCCGCCGAAACCGCCGCAGAAGGAGACGTAACCACCGTCGTCCGGGATCAATGTTGCTTGGACGATTTCTTGGACGCGCTGACGCGGCCCTTGTTGAGGTAAGCGTTGTAGAAGAACCGGGCGAACAGCAGCAAGTAACTAAAGTACATGGCCGACGACAGGGTAATGTTGAGCTTGGACACACGGCACGAGTGCGGGCCGCCGGACTTCAGGTAACCGTAAGTGGTGTAATTGATGAAGCAGCCGACCAACATCTGGGTCAGCTGACTGGCGGTGATGAACATGGACACTTGCTTGGGTGGCCGGTAGCCCATGGCCCGCGATGCGTAATAAGTGTACATCATCGAGTGCACAGAGTAGTTCATGACGATGAACCATCGGGCAGACGACGTGAACTCCATGTATGAGAACCACGTATACAACAACACGGTGATGTGATGATACCAGTGCAGAAAGATGAGCGGCTGCTTGCGGAGCACGATGAATATCGTGTCGCCGAGTTCAGGCAACTTGGACAGCACGAACAGCCACGACCAGAAGCCAGACACAGGATCATCCTCAACGTAGCTGAGAGTGGAAAGGAACAAAAAAACCAAAAGTTAGAGAGAAAAATAAAATGTTCGTGCAAATTGTATAGCCAACCAACAATTTTCTTTCTAATATATCTAAAACTAAATTAAGTGATCGTGATTGGCCAGTTCACGTGGAATACGCCCGGTGGGGTGAAGCCGAGGAGGCCACTTTACAACATTGACGACAAAAATCCTAATAGTGAAACTAACTTCAACATCGATGATTCGATTTGTTTTTCCTATTCGGTTCAGGTTAGGTTATGACGCATTGGTATATCTAGACGCCAAGATCGGCGATAACATATTAACATTAAATAAAACGTGTGGGTGTGATAAAAAACTGTAAGTGCGGATCGAGTGGGTATAAGCTCACAGTATTCAGTTATAAGCTAAATGCAACCCTCTACCACATCTGCGCCTATAACTCGCTCACAAGCTATTATTTTTAGTTTTAAAAGTATAATTGGCGTCACTGATGAGACAAAAATATACTTATTTGTCTAATTTTTAAAAATAAATCCATGCAAGTACAAAAAAGGGTAATTAAATTGAAATTTTACTGTGTGGTTTATATTTTCATCACAATTTACATCGTTAATGGCGTAAATTAAAAAATCATTTACATTAGGAATTTTATACTAAAAAGTTCGGCATTGAAAAAATATTTTACTACCTACCAATCTCGATGTACTATATACGCGCGAGTTGATAGAACCTCGATTATGAAATAAATATAATATAATTGCAAAAGGTATAGTGTGGAACTCTTGAATGCTTAGTTTATAATTTAGGAGGATGTCAGAGCACTATTATACATATATATCATGCATGCATGCATTCAGTAGAACGAACCTCGTATAGTTAGCTATAGTATATTAGAATGAATTGACCTATTGTCAAACTTTAAGTTAAGAACATTATTTGTGTTTGTACGTTGGCTTTTTTACGATATGTCAATTGTTATGCAAATTATGAGTATGTAAAATATAAAAATTTAAAAATTAACATAATATCTCACTTTAAAATTGGATTATAAACTGTTAAAGGTCATATTTTTTATTGTAAGCGCATAATTTGAAATTTTATTGAAAATCAAGTAGCACTAGGATAAATATTTTTTGTATATCAAGGTCAACAATTATTTAAAAGGATGTCAGAGTACTGTTTTTTTCTCTCTCCAACCCAAACACAACATAGACAAAACTCAGTTAAGCAGAAACTTTTTTTTATGTTTTTGAGTTATCTTAAAATAAAATCACTCATTAAAAAAAACAATAGAGAATAATATTTTTGATGGTGAAAAGTATGAATTTTTTTAAATCTTGTCTCAAAACAACTAAAACATCGTTTAAGATTACAAAAAGAATTTTTATTTTTATAACGTATGCAAAATAAAATAATAATAAACAGTATAAAATCGATGTGTCATCCCTCCAAAAATATTATCCTATATAATTTTGTAATAGGTAGTAGTAGTAATAGTACTAAGTACATGATTTTACTCTTAAGATTAATAAAAAAATGATAAAAAACGATTTAAGATGAAAGCGTTTTATCTTTGTTGAGCGTAGGTATAAGAAAGAAAACAAATATCGAGCTGACATCCTAATTTCACAATGAATTTGTCATATAAACCATAAAGACTAATATTGTTATCTAAATGGTCAGTGGGTAGTTTAGATTAGAATATAGCGCAACACGCAATTTTCATCAAATCATTTATCATAATAGGTACGTTTGTTTAATATTACGGATAGAATGTGGCCATGGCACAATAATTATTCCAATACTTGTTCCATAAATACCATAAGTGTAAACGGATGTTTTATAGCGGTGATAAAATTTTTTAAATAGTTCTTTCAAAGCTTGGTTTTAACGTTGCCTCAAATTCAAAGTTTAGATGTTCTACATTTTCGTGTTTAAGATTTTGATTTAAAAAAATGTATTGTTCAACATTTTCAATACAATATAATGTTCAATCGTTCGAAGGGCGACCAAAAGTCGATCGTCGAGCATCGGTCGAAAAAGTATTAGGTACCGGACGGACATACCCGACGACGCGAATAATGTGCAGGTCTTCCAAATTTTGTGCGACAATGGTGGAGATATTACGCTTGCTGAGAACATCTCTAATCTCCATTATTTTTGGTACTTAATATTTGTAAGACCAAAACTATTTTCAGATGAATCTTCATTATTAAGATTGTTACTAGTAAAGTTAATTTGCTTAAATTAAAGTATAAAACTTATTATTAGGAAGTTTGATTTATAAAAATTGTATACGAGTTAGGTTAGGTTATTTAAATAAAAATTCTACGTGCATGTATATATAGGCAACAATAATTAGTTTTTTTTATAAGATTTGTTTGGTATTAATTGCAAATATAAAAAGAGTGAAGTTACGATTTTGAAAAAAATTACGGGCCTTCTTTCATATAAATTTAAAATAAAATAATTATTATCAATACACGGTCCCTAACCTATTTAAAATTATCAAGTGGTTACAGCTTACCAGCTCACAAAGTTCGGTTCTAGATTTATCTGTTTGGCAAAACTAATTTGAATAGACTAAACCCAAACGACGACCGAGCGCAGACCTACACAGAAAATTATTCAACAGCTGAATAGTAATCCGTATCCTTCAAATGCGAACCCTAAATTTAATGTTTTAACTTATCATGATATTAAACAATTAAAGTTATTGAACTTAGGAAACCCATAAGTATTAATAGGTGAACACATTGTATAATGTACACTATACAGGTTGATTCTTCTGACAATGATTTATAATTTTTTCTGAGCATTCTTTTTTATTTTGAAAAATTAAATGTTGGCTTTTTAAATACATAAAAAGATAGTTTAGTCATATTATACATATTAGAGCTAAATAGTAGGAACTGGGATGGGAATTAATTATGAAATAGATGTGTATACTGTATGTTGCAAAATTCCAAAAATATATTCGAGTTTGAAAAATTAAATTAAATATGTATGCAGCCATTCAAAAAAGTAAACAACTTAAATATGGTAGGTAATAACAATAAAAATGTTGTTTATGAACTCCAAAAACGCTAACACTATAGAGAAACTTAATATACGCCTTTAAAAGAATACCTTGAACTAAATAATAAATACCATGATTAATTATAATACCATACACAATAACGAAGTATTATGATTATTATTGATACATATACGCACATGAGTACCTACTATCTCACATTACAAGTAGACGTAGCCACCTCACCAATTACTAATCTAGAATGAACTAATAATCTAGAATGAACTAATAATCTAGAATGAACTAATAATCTAGAATTTTCTGATTCTTTTGTGGCTACGTACTTCCCAACGTCACTAATAACAATAACTCATTGACGCATAGTTCTCACTGCTTGCGATGCTCCCGATATCCGATGCGATTATCATCGCTATTGATAAAAGATTGGAAATTAAGACACCTCCTCCTGTCACACAATCGATACCAGTCTTGTAAAGAATATTTACATTTGGTAATCGGAATATGTACTCGAATAAACGAATGAAAATATATTAAAAATACATATTCCAAAAAATATTACATAGGTACCTATTTTTTTTTCAGATAATTCATGACAGTTTTGGAATGGTTGGAAACTAACGTTAATACATGAACATTGAACATAATATTAAATATACAAATAAGTATTGTAAATATATTAATACAATGAATAATAATGCCAGAAATAATTACACAAATAAATTGATTATAGAAAAATCTGTATTGCCACAAATTTAAAACAATTTTTCAATATTTGCAAATTAATAAATAAATAAAAAAAGAAAAGTATTCAGATTACTCTACAAGACTGATCAATGCTAGAATGACTGTACGTATGTAATAGACAAATAATAGTCAACGGTTATTAAAATATAATCGACGCATAGCGAATACCACATTACCACGACCACGCTTGTAATATAACTAAAATCTTCTTCAACCTCTCAAGTTGAAACTTGATGAATAAGAACCGGCTTAGGTTAAAATATTCTCAAAAATAAAAAGTTAAATTCAGAACAAACTACTTCTTGGACTAACTACTCTTTCCCCAGACGAAGGCCTAAAAATCCAAACCACAATTTTAGAAACCTGTTCTCCGACAACGGAAATGCGTCGAACGTCGATTTAGCCGATGCGGCGGCGCTACCATTATACGGCACGTCAATACGTCATTATATTCGCTACGGATTTGAATGGCAATAATACGAATCACATATGTAGGCACCTACTGTCCTACTGAATAATGATTACCTATGCTATCATGGTCGCAATTTTTTTTCCACAGACAACACAAACTGGCTGGCTAATATACTATAATATGACTCCGGTTTTCCCATCGGTAATAAAGTATTATTATAGTGTTTATTATTACGGATTGCGCGGTTAAGGATAAATATATGCCACCGCACAAAACGATGTATTCTCCCGCAACCTTGTCATAGAAATACATATACTTGATGTATATTTTATAAAGACGTAGGTGTGTATCGCTACACCAATTACAAAACATTGCAACCTAAACGTTTGGATGGCCAAATTATACTCTGTGTGTATCAATAACATCAAATAACGTGTGTTCCGTAAACACAACTGTAAACGCTCTCTCTCATTGTACTCACCATCCTACTTATGGTAAAAAAAAAACATTTGCTCCCCAAATCATAACCCATATGCGCCCTATTCAGATCAAGTAAAAATTGTACAACGTTGCCATTTAATGAGTATATTGGAATGCAACTATAAAATCTAAAATAATATTTTTGATCGTTTCCCATGCTAATCTAAGACTTTGTGTTTTGTTATTTTAAATATCAGTAGAAACCCTCTTTCTGGAGATATAAGTTGGCGTTGTGTAAAAAAAACCTGTGGTGCATATGTCAAAACCAATAATTCAAAAACGAAGTTAACCGAAATTAAAGACAGTCGTACCCATGATCCGGAAACTGAAGTAGGTT